CGCTCAGCCGCCGCCAGCCTCGCAGCTTCCCGCTGACGCAGCGCCAGATGTGCAGCTGCTGCGCTGCTGCAGCCACCGCCTAGGGGCGCTTCCCGCCCAAAGTGAAGACCAATCAAAAGAGCGATTTCGCCGCTCAAGAAAATGGCCAATCGCGATTTGGCTCCTGGCCGGGGCCCGCCCCCCCAAATGGGTCAGAGCCAATGGCAATCAAGCGGGCGGTGAGCCAATCAGGACCTCGCGGGACCTCGCAGTCAGGCGCGTGGAGTTGGACCAGGATGAGGTGGGAGCTCCCAATGCAGCCCGGCGGGTAGCCGGCGGGGATCTGGGAGGAGGCGGGGCTTGGAGGCCAGGCCTGGGGTGAAGTCGGGGGCGGGGGTGTGTGGTACTGAAGGACCTTGTACCTGCTCGCGCAGTGCCAGGACCAGGCACCACCCAGGGTCGTGTCCCCAGCTTGTGGGTCAGGGGTGGGCACCAGGCACACTGCACATGTGTGGTCGCCTTCTGCTCTCGCTCTTCCAGACTCTTCCTTCCCGATTCAGCACCAAGTGTTGCACTTGAGCTCTCTCCTGTGTGTCTCTGCTACACTGCAAGCTCACGAGGGCACTTAAGAAAATGGGCAGTATTTACAGGGTCTTGAAATAAGAATGATCGAAAATGGTATATGGGGAAAATCTTGCTTCCTCCGTTAGATAGGTTTTTTTCTGGTTGTTTATACTGATAATTTTTTTTTAAGCAAAACCAAGCAAACAAATAGATTTGCTTATATCCCCTTTTTCTTGCACCAAAGGTAGCACCCAGTGGACACTCTTTCATCTGTTTTTGATTGTACGAAACATCCAGCTCCCTCCGTGTCAGCCTACAAAGATCTGCGTTGTCGATTGCGGCTGCACAGTGCTCCAGAGTGTGGCTGCAGGTTGTTCAGCCTGTTGTGTATCGCTGCAGACTGGAATGCTGTCCTGCTTTTACGTATAAGGCTGCTTTTACATGTAAGTGAGTATCTGTGCATGTGCTAGTTCTTACTGGTGTAGATACATACGGGATGCCAGAAGTGGATGGCTGTGAGTTTGTAGATGTTGTCGGATTCCCTTCCATGAGCAATCTATGAGAATTCCTGTTTTCCCACAGCAGGGTAGGCTTCTGCCTTTAATTTGTTCATTTTTACATCCTCAGCTCATAGGTTTCTACTGGCTAATTGTTGAATTAACGTGGTGATAGTTTACACGTAAATGAAACCCAACCAACGCCCTCTCATACTGCACCCCTAAAACAAGCGGAGCCCAAGAGACAGGCTTATGTGGAGAGAGGGCACAAGGACCCTGGGACAGGGCTTTACAAGGTCCAGTTCAAGTTTCACTTGTTCCCAGTTAAGTGAGGCCGATGACTAGTCATCTCAGCCTCAGTTTTCCCTCCTGCCCACTGTGGTAGCTTCAAAAATTTATAAAATATTCTAAGTACATAATAACTCACACTAACCGCTGCATTTTCCTTTTATAAAAGTTGGTTTTGAGGCTTCTGTTATTGGTCATTGCACAGCGTGAAATCAAGGTGCTCAAAACAATGTTATTTAGAGGTGAAGTATTCCAAATGTAAAGGAAATGTGTCTTCTATTACCTGACACGTTAAAGGAAGCTTCCACATTAGAAGACATTTGTGCATTTCGTCATTTTTAGGAGCTGTTATTTTTAGCAAAGGCTTTGTCTTCAAAGAGAAAAATACCATGATTAATACTTTCAGAAGAGCTGTTCAGCCATTGTCTGTTGGTATAATAGTGTCTTCTCAAGTCGAATTGCCTAATTATGATGTTTTTTAGGAAGGTTGTCACTGAGCTAACATCTGTGCCAATCTTCCTCTATTTTGTATGTGGGACACTGCCACAGCATGGCTTGATGAGCAGTG